GTATACTCTCACCCTGCACGCACACACACACACATACACACACACACACACACACACACACACACACACACACACTCGGGTGGTTCACAAAAACAGCTGGAGATGCTTTAGTTATCTAAAAACTACAATAAGTTCCTACTTTGCTTCTTTAGCCCTGAGTGAAGGTTTTCAGATAACACCTAAACAGGTGCGTTTTTAATAGCAGAAAATAAATAACTAAATTTTATATACAACCTTATTTCTAATAATAATAGTAACAAAACTTACAGGAAAGTTGCTACTATCCCCAAATCGTGCATTGATTGTTCAGGTAAAAACTTCGTGTTTGGTGTAAAATGTTGTAATTTCTGACTTTAGCAGATCTCTGTGCAACCCCCCCCCCAACACACACACACACATGCAGCAGTGGGGGTGGAGTTAGAGCTCAATTAGGAGGCGAGACAAAAAGAGAGAATGCTTGTAGACTGGAAAATGACAAAAAAAAGACGAATAATTGTCATTTGGCAGCAATGCTGTTTTTGTGAACATTTGGAGCCAAACTTAAAATCAACACTTCAAATTTGATTAACTGCACAGCTCTATATTGGAGATATTTTAAGACTTGAGCAATCAACTCTGGACTTGGTTCCCACTCTGATGAGCTGTTATCTGATTTCCCCTGAGAAAAATGTATGTTTCAAACGGAAAATACCAGGAAGAACTCATGCTGCAGGTAAAATACTGATTACTGAGAACAACTCCTCAGAAGACCACTTTAAAAAAATTGAAACTCTTCCTTTAACCTTCACTTCAGTAATGTGTTGAAGGAAATTTTATAGATATTCTTAGTGTTTTTTCATAGAAGTCTACAGTTCTTTGCACTGATTGTTTGTGGTATTAGGGTAATTGTATTGTTTTTGTTTGTGCCAAAGGACCAGATGACAGATCTRTACTGACAGGCAGAAGCAAAGTAAAAAAAAATAAAAGCTAAAAGGACAATTTTACACCTCATTGTAGTAAATATGCCAGTTATTATCTTGTTAGCAATGAGTTATGGGGAAATGGCACCATCAGTTACATTTGTTGAACTGCTACCTTAGAGTTTTGTCTGACATTTCCAAAATCATCACCTACTCCATATCTGAATAATAATCAGCTAACAGTTGGAAGCCAGCAGTATTGCTTATTCCCGTTTCAGACGTTTGTTTATCTTTTGTTTATCTTTTCACATCACCTCAAAACTTCTACATTCTCGTCACGTCCGTGGCTCGACTTTTCATCATTACATAAAGGCAATTTAAAAATGCTCAGTCACCAAGTGGCATTTTGCAAATAGCGTCTTACCCATGGCGAAAAAACATAATTCAGAATGTATTGGACTCAAATGTTTCCCTTGTTGTTGTTTCCCTGTATTTTTCATCAGCCTGATCTTTTGCAGCGTTGCCTCTGTTGACTCTGGTTTCAATTTGAAGCACGAGGTTCTGCCTCTGTTGCTGCTGTCACACTGAAACGAGAGAAAACGCTTGCTTGATAATTAGATATTCAAGTAAAGTCAAAAAAACACACCGGGGACGATTTGTATTTTCTGAACAGCAAACAGCCAAATATGAATTTCTCTGCTGCATTGCTTTACTAAGACTAAAACACATGAAATAAAGAAAAGCAAAAGGTGATGTATTTTCTTTTATTTAGAGTGTATAAACGAACTAAACAAACGAGTTTACTAGTTAGACCTGAGTTAATAAAATAGCTCTTTCACATGTAGATGTGAACATTGCCTTCAAACACAGAGTTCGTTCAAGATGTGGCAAAATATCCTACAAATTATTATTTTTTTCTGGTTGTTACAGGATAATATTTTTATTGTGCCACCAAAAAAGATGTAGAACAGATAAAAAAATTAACAGGCAGGTGTTGACAGTGGGCTGAGATGGCACCACAGCCTTTTTTATCTAACTTTTTCTCAAGGGAGGCAGTGTTAACAAGATGTATCAAAAGTGAAAGCATGTAGTACGCCCATTTATCATCCTGTGCTTTCATTACTACTGCTGGCACCACTGCGCTATGATAAAGATCTACACGACTTTTTTTTTTCTTTTCCCAGAGTTTAATTCATAATCAGTGGCATAATGATGAAAAACTTGCTGTGTCGGTCGCTCATTCTGCTACACATTGTATTATAGCTTTCCTAATCTCATTGACCGCCATAATTAAAGTAATAACGAGTTAAGGCAGCGAATAGACGCAATGTTTCACGTGTGTCTAAAAACAGTGGTTGCCCCTCAGTCTTGAGGGGGTGCATGTGAATGTCCACATCCACCAAACTTTATGATCCTTACTGAAAATGTAGAAAACATGCGTCTGCGAGGACRTTCATGTGTCATATTATTTAATCAGCCAGAAATGCTATGAAAAAGGAAGCTGAAGCTTCAGAGGAGCTAACGTTAAGCGAACAAGATGACCTCCTTGTCTCGACTGTATTTTCTGTCATGGTAGGGGAATTTGAAACTAATAAACAAGTGATTAAATTCCTGCAAACTAGCAGCACGGAGTTGATTAAAAAATGCCTCTCTGCCCTGGACTCTGGAGCCTCTGGGAGATGCAAAGCAAGTGCTTGTTATCATCATGAAAAGTTCAAATTGAGGGTAAGAGTAAGAAGATCCTACAGGAACAAGTGCATGTCTCATATTTGATCATGAAAAACCTTCATGGCCTAAAAAGTTTAGGAGTTGAATCCAATTACACTARATGCAGTGTTTTTAGAAAATTTTATATAATTTCTTTTTGTTTTCTTAGAACAAAAAAATATGTTAAGTTTCCTGCCTTTAGGCTTGTTTTTTATAGAATCGTGTATACTTAAAAGAAAAAAGTTAGTATTCAGAACTTATTATTCACCAAACAGTTTGACTTGAAACATTTACGGTAGAGGATTAGGGCCGCACAGCAAAAATATATATATATATTATTTACAGCATTCTGATTTTAATCTCAGAATCCTGAGGAAAAAGTCAGAATTCTAAGATTAAAGTGTTTTTATTCCCAGAATTTTGAATTTAATCTTAGAATTCTCCGAATTTACAAGAAAAAATGTCAGTATTCTAAGATTAAAGTCAGAATTTTGACTTTCCTTGTTCTGAGGGGAAAAAAGTCAGTTTTTTGAGGAAAAGAAAAGCAGAACTCAGTAAATTTTAGTCTTTTTTTATATTTTTATTTTATTTTATTTTTTTTGCTCTGTGGCCCTAATCCCCCTCTGTTGTCATTTTCATTAAGACTTTTTCAGTAATATTGTATTTTGCATCATTACTTGTTGTGTTTGCATTTATCATTTTGTATTTTTCATTTAAGCTTAGGAAAAAGAACTCTATGACTTCAGACCAGTAAAATAAATAAATTGGCATATATTTCAGTACTACTTCAAGGACGTCATGTTACATACATAAAATGCTTATATAAATTATTTAATTTTTACATGAAAGTGTTAACAATATATTCACAAAATGATTGTATCYTACTAGAAGCATGCAGTGAGGCAACAAGTCCTTCACACATATGAGGTTTGTCATATTTTAGTTTTTAGGTTTTAGATAATAATGACAATAACAACATTGTCATCATCATTTCATCTGAAAAATTGCCTCACATTTGACTTTAACATCAGTAGACAGATTAACTTGATCTTAGTGTTAGTTGAAAAGTTGTAAACTTTCTTGAATTCTGTTCATTTATCATCTTACTGTCAAGTGAGGAACTCTATATTCTTGTGAACAGCAAGAATAGTTTGCAACTTCCCTGTCTCCCCTCGTTGACATAGTGTTAACACACATTTGAATGCTCCCGACCAGCAAACTGCCAAAACATCTGTTTTTATAGAGAGCGGCTCAGTCGTATTGCTGTCAGCCTGAAATTGTATTTATTTAGTTTTAAGACCTGGTAAGAACTAGATGATTTTAATTATGCCCCGATACATTCAGCCCTACAAGTAAAAGAAGCTGTGATTTATTTTTAGCTAGACTGTGCAGAGGTGAAGACGAGCTGAAGCCTTTAGATTGTGTCGGCGTAATAAATTCAAAAGTTGAAGGAGGTTCACAGACCATGTTTACGATGCCTGTCAGCCTCATATATCTGAGACCAGGTGTGTCAAAGCTGTTGTCACTGCTAGCTTGTAAATGTCTTGGTTTTCTTTCATGTCGCGTTTCCCTCGGCTCTCTTCACTTTCAGTCCAGGGTTTCTTTCTTTTTTTTTCACTTGTCGCTTTTGAGTGGCAACCTCTACTTTCTTTTTTTTTTTACTCCTCTTTTTGCTTTTGACGTGTCGAGCGTCTGACTGGCAACATTTTTTCTTCCTCCCCTGTCCATCACAAAGAGCTCTGCTATCTTACCTTGGAGCAATGATTTTTATTGTTTATCATGAATTACCGCCTGCTGCTATTCACAAACAATGCCTCTTTCTTTTCTGTCACACTTTCCATCCCATTAACCTTTCTTTGTTTGTCCTAATTTACAATTTTCTTTCTGAATCACTCTGCTCCAAGCTAGACATCTTCTGAACCAGGCCTAAACACTTAAGATTTACTGTAAATTTATCCAAATAAATGTTGCCCTTGACGAAAGTCAGGGTTGATGGTGAAGCTGCACCACAGTCCTTTGGTTTCGTCAAACCTTTCGCCGCCTCAGGGTGGCAGTAGAGCTTCATGTATACGTAACTCAAATCACCGAGGAACAGACCAACATGTGCTCGTGTGTGTTCTCGAGACCTGATAAATGACATTTGCATTAAGTTACTCTCCCGCACGGAATGGAAAATTCTTAGGGAACGATGCATTCTATCATCCTGCGATTTGTGTGATATTCTGCAAATTGAATATGTAAATAGCAACATCCTTTTTAATGGCTAACATAATGCCTTCTCATTTATAGTCACATGGTTGGAGAGTGCAGATAAACACAGCAAGCAAAACCTCACATAAATCAGTTGTTTTGTTTTTTTTTAAACAGATGTACTGTATCACCTCTATCAATCACAGGAAGTGAGCTGTTTTAATGTTGGAACTCACTGACAAGTATGTGCGACATGATTTGCACTCTCCAGGACAAAAAAAAGGACACTCAACAAAGTCCTCTCAACCCCCCGAATAGCAGATCTAACACATGGGATCAAAACAAGTCTGTGTGAATTCTACATGAATAAATCATTCATGTCTGTCTCACTCCATCTCATGCTGGCTCTTTTCTTTTTTGTTGTTGTCTGTCTTTGCAGGAGTTTGAAAAGAGGAAAATGTTGTAATTTTGTGCTCTAAGACAACTGACCTTCGACCCTCCCCCCCGCCCACTGCCTGGTAAAACGAGGCGATTCTGGAGGTGGACATGTCCAACAGCGCCTGCAAACCCTAATTATCATCAACGAAGCGCACATCCAATGTTTCTATTGTAATTTCTGCCATGTTGAACTTGTACCTTGCACATAATTGCAGATTAAAACATTGATGGTATCCATGAGATCATGGTTCTACACGGTGTAAAGGCTTTTCTTTCCCCACTCAGTGTCACCAGCTAAAAGAGGCATGCCATGGTTGTCGTTTCATTCTGTAATACTGTAAGATGTGTTTCGTCACCCATTTTACTGGCTGTCCACTTGAATAAGAAGTGTTTCTCAAATCATTTTGCAGCTGTGTTGTGTCTGTACTTTCGCACAACAAGCTTGTCTGTCCTCAGCTTTTATTTGATGCACTTATTTTTAGTGCAAACATTTCACTCAGATGARGATGCAACAAGGTGTCAAATCTACCAGCAATACTTCCGATGTGCAGAATAAATTAGTCAAGCAATTAAAATTAAGCAATTTTTTTTCTCTGTGTATTTTATTGTTAAAAAGACGAGCGTGTTTTCATCTTTAGGTAGATGTTTGTGAGGAATCAAAGCATTTGATGGTCCCACACACACATTTGATTTGAAAAACAAAAGGGGATCCTGGTTAACCACAGGGGAAACTCAAATTGACAAATGAGCCATGAGTAGATGGGCGTTGTGTTCAAAGACTAACTGTGTTTTCTCAGGAGGGGGAAGATATGCAGAAGCAGGATGTCACTGGCATGGTGCTGATTCTTCCCTTTTCGTGTTGCCATGTACACATATGATTGGCATCTGTGGTGATGCAGAATGGAGATTAATCACTAAATCTGATAAAATACCAAGCCTCCCACTTACAGCACCACTCCAAATGCAGCCATTTCGTTCTGGTATTCGTAATGACCAGTGGTGGGCACAGTTCCCCTAAAGCAAAAATAGGGGAACTAATTTCCTGATTAGTGCTTTAGGGCTTTTGCTAATTTCAGAATTTATCAGTAGATTAGCACTTGCTAAATGTATAGGCGACATTTAGAAGCACTAACAGGTCTATAAATGTTACTGATCAACATTACTGAGGGTGAAAGCTGTCACATTTTGTTCATATGTGTGTRGCTTAAAGGTGACATTAACAATCTGAACTCAAGGCTGTGGCTTAAGAGAGCAACATGGCAATATGTGACTTAATGTTCAACACATGAAGAATGTTCATGGGTTGACTGGGTTATTTTAGTGCTTTAGAATTAGCTTTTGCTACATTTTTCAGTGTGTCCGTGCTTTTGAATTAGGGGACCTAAATATTTGAGTTAGTGCTTTTAGGGATAGTGAAACAAATTTTTAAATTAGTGCTGCCCATCACTGCTAATGACTATGTTTTACTTAAAAAAAATATCTAAAAACACTTTATTTTCACGTTCAACACATTTTTGTGCATATAAACACAATTTATATTAATTGCATGTAAAATACATCTAAAGACAGACAAGGAAAACCCTCTGAGAAACAATCAAAAGAGACCAATAATTTCAAAATGACACATCTAAATGTTCAAACAATCCCAAGGCAGAGATGGTTTACATCTGAGGTCCAGTGTTCTCCTCCTCCTGTGGTTTGTCACAATGCTGTTAAAAACAGCATCACTTGTGATCGCTTTTTGTTCCAGGACAACTTTAGCTCTTGTTTTCCAGATGTGTGTGTGTGTGTTGATAACACACATCACCAGCCAGAATAAACATCTCTTTGCGTCTGAAGTTTTCTTTAAGTAGTCCACAAAAGCCCGATCTTGTATTTATTTCAACTTTGAAGCCGATAGACTCCATTTTGTCTCTTATCTCCACAGTCCTGTAWCACTGGAGTAAAAGATGATTCCAGTCATAAGACTTKGTGTAGGATGATAAAGGTGTAGAGTTGTCCTAATGGCAGGCCCAGGTGTCATAAGGTTCTGTTATGGTTTGTCCATAATACAATCTTTCCTTAATGTAGCCTGTCTTGGTCAACAGTAACTTTAACATCAATTTTATTCAATTTACACAGACTTAGCCTCAGTCAACTCTCAATTTCATTGAAGGGGTCTACTCTGTATTCTTCCCATGCGATCCCTATTATGCAATTGTTCACAGCTTGTTCTCTCTGACAGGTCCTAGTCTGACACACTCAGTCACCTGTGAAAGAACTGCTCTTCAAATGTCATCAAATGTTCACAGTCAGAAAGACAACTGTTAATTGATGCCCTTTCTGTAGATGTCACTGCTCCTTTTCAAACATGCACCCTTTGAGCAGTCAAATATGGTGCTGACGGAGCTTCAACAATGCTTTCCCCCCCTTTCAAAACCTTTTGTGATCTTTTCTCCCCCTCTTTCTCTACCTTCATGCAAAATCGCAAGCAGCTCATCATTTCCCAACATGCCACGTAGTGCGACCTGATGATAATTGCTTAACCGAACCACGAAGAACACCTGTTTGGAAGCGTTTGTGTTGTGCTACCTTGCTCGTTTATTTTGATTTGTCACACRTTTGTGTCGCACCTTTCTTATAGGCGTGCAGCCGTTTCACAAGTACCTTCGCAGCTGACGCCAAAAGGCCGTGAACGCTCAAAGCCATGTTTCCCTAACCTTTAATTAAGACGACCCGAGTTCAACAACAACTAAAGTCTCACCTTGTTACTGTACACAGGGTGAAATTAAACAGAGGAAGGGAAAATGAAAACAGGAGATAAGGTTACAGTTGTGCTCCCGCACAACGTGTTTAAATTAACTCACTAGGAACAAAAATGTGTAATGAAGCATATAATACTCAGCACTGGACATCTTTGCAGTTTTATTTTTATCTTCTCCACAGCAGTCAGCCAAGGCAGATTATTCTGTGTACACACTGTTAACAATTACTTTTTAATCTGCATTAGTGAATTAACATATTGACTACAGAAAGCTTATTTGTTGTTGAGCTCAGAAGTTGCAGCTTGCACTGAAGTTGTCAATCTGGGCACTGCATGGACTTGACTCGACTTATATAAAAAACAAATTTAGCATTTCATATTTTTGATTTATAATGAACTTTTTTCGTCTTTAATGTACAATGCCATTTCTAAAACAGTTGTGTTTCTTTTGCGTAAAATGACAAACTTAAACAGAATGCAAGAATTTGTAAATCTTCCCATATTTTATTCACAGTGGAAACAGATGTTCAACCTGTAAAATTTACCTTTATACACGAAAAAAATGTTCATCAGTTCTGGATCTGCTGGATTTTGAGCTGGATTGGATCATTTTTAAAACCTGCTTTGCAGTGATGGTGCCTTTCCAGATGTAAGAGCTTCTCATGCCATTAATGCACCCTCATATCATCAGAGAGGCAGGCTTTTGAAATGTGCAGAGAAGACCTCTGTGCAACTCTTTACTACAAAAAAATGTGACAACCAAGTTCTCTTAAAAATAATTGTAATTAAATTTCAATTAACCTGACAACGGAAGAGGTTTCTACAACAACTTAGTTTATATTAACTTTGGTCCAGAGAAGACTGTAATGTTTCTGGATGGTGTTAAGCTTCTTTGCATGATAGAGCTTTAATCAGCGTTTGTTGATGGTAAGGAAAATTGTGTTTACAGACATTGATTTGTGAAAGTGCCCATGCAATGATGTCCAAAACAGAATCAGACCTGTTTTTATTGCAGCACTGGGACCCAGAGATAACAGGCATTCATTATTGACTTCCAGCCTTGTTATTGGCTCAGATTTAGACAGATTGATGTAATTTGGTTATTATGAACCCTGGATGATGGGACATTCAAATTATTATTATTTTTATTATGAAATCATTCCACTATGTATAGATACAATTTTCACAAACTGGTGTCCATCTTTATTTTTGAGATATTTAGCCTCCCTAAAATGTACTTGCAATTAACCTAAWCACTTACAAAATGCTCTTCCTATATTCATACCACTGACTTTATCAGCTTTTTGTTGCACCTTGTTTGGGATTTGCAAATCATTTCATTGTTTTATTTTGTTATACTTCACATAGTGTCCCATCAATTTCAAAATTTGGGTTTATACATATCCGACGACTACAAGCTTTGAAAACCTTGCATCATCCAAGTACTTTGGATGGCAATATGTGYGACTTACCTTACTGGTGGCTGATTTCAGCAGTTGCCATGGACACAGAAAGAGTCACGATAGCTGTAAGTTAAAAAAGGTCAACTGCTGTCTCTCTGCCGGTCCAGCCTGCTGGAACGGCCTGACCTGAACTGAGCAGCAGTTTATATGCTAAATCTGCTCTGGAGGTGGTACTTACTGCTGCACCGATGGTGGCTTTTAATGGCTGCAAAATGACATTCATTGGCAGACCTTTTGTATCTCAAAATCAAATTCTTTCTCTACAAAGATTATATAATTGGAAAGTTATTCACTTTCTTTAAGAAATGGGGTGGTGTAAATTTTAAATAAAAGACAAAGCTATTTGAAAATATTTTAAGCTTAGTAATTAAAAACACAAAAAGCATATCAAATGTTTGAGTACAAATTAAAAAAGAAATGTAGGAAATAATGGAAGCTAACCCCCTTGCGAAAAACATTGCAGTGTCTCAAGGCTTTAAGGACATTATCTGATATTGGCAAGATGCATCAATTTTCTAAGATWCATTTTATATGAAGTCTTGCAAGTGTCAGGTTTGAAAATCAACATTTATCCTTGAAAATTAATAGTTTAAACTAACATTTTTTTCTCTCAATGGAACATTTAACATCTTTCAAAAAACTTTGAAACGTTTGGCACTCGTCAGCACATACCCACAGCAAAAGGCCTTATTACTGAGCCAGTGTTGACTTCAGTTAAATCAATTGTAAGAGTGACGTAGGAAAATTCCTCGGAGCAGACGGTGGTCTTAATGAACTCAACAGGGTACTCTGTGAGTGGCCTTACATGCACTGCAACACCTTATGACTAATGAATCCGAGGAGAGGTTGAACAGAGCCAGGTGCTCAGCATGTAAATGATCTGTTTGCTAATGAAACCAATAAAAATAARTCTCRTGTTAAGGGGTGAGATTTCATTTATTTATCTTTTCGTCTCTAAAAAAACATTCCCACCGAGCTCGGAGCAGAGCAGAAACTAACCTGCTGTGTTCTGTGGGCCATTAACATTGAAGCGTTACAGCGGGACGGACTGC